ACATTATTTAACATGAATGTACATGTCATGAAAATATAAATCTGAAGCTCCCAAGCCCTGCTAACCCCCTTGTCTTGATTTTATTGTATTTCTTGCTGTCTCCCTTTACTTTGTAAAACCTATGGAAGCTGTTGATGCCATAAAATCAGAATATATATATACAAAACTATAATAATGAAAAAAATATTAATAATAATCTGAGGTCCACTTTAAGGGCTAGTTCACACCAGCCACAGTGCGTTCCGGCACGTTCGGTGCGGGAATGCACTGGGCCGCATTCCAGCCGCCCACTTTGTTTTGGGGCGGTGCATTGAAGTCAACACGCTCTCCGGCCACAGTGCGATCGCTCACACCGGAACCCATGGAACATCAGTACCTCCGTTCCGGTCCCGCGCAGTCAGGAAAAATGCTGCATGCACTATTTTTTCTGATCCCACCGGACCGGAACGCAGGCATTGATGTGCCACTCGTTCAGGTGCGGGCGATCACACTGCAGCCAGAGGGCGTGGCTGTGGTGCCATTGACTTCAATGCACACACCACGCCCCCTTCCCTCCGCCCCAAAACAAAGTGAGCCGGCTGGGATGCGATCCAGTGCAGAATCGGCCCAGAATGCACTGGGGCTGGTATGAACTAACCCTTACTGTATGGTCCTAAATGCTGTAAGGCAGGGGTGCCCGCATTTTTTTATGTTAAGATCTACTTTTCAAATGACGAGCTCTACCAATGTTTTTTCTCCTGGCTGTCTCTCCTCGCTCTCCTGGCTGTCTCTCCTCTCTCTCCTGGCTGTCATTCCTCGCTCTCTCTCTCCTGGCTGTCATTCCTCGTTTTTTCTCCTGGCTGTCTCTCCTCTCTCTCCTGGCTGTCATTCCTCGCTCTTTCTCTCTCCTGGCTGTCATTCCTCGTTTTTTCCCCTGGCTGTCTCTCTTCGCTCTCTTGGCTGTCTCTCTTTGCTCTCTCTCCCCTGGCTGTCTCTCCTTGCTCTCTCTCCTGTCTGTCTCTCCGTGCTCTCTCTTTCCTGGCTGTCTCTCCCCGCTCTCTCTTCTTGCTCACCTTGCTGTATTTTGCAAACAGTGTAGTGCAACAGGCTGTGTAAACTAATATTCTTTGATGTAATACATAGCACTTCAACCACCAGTATCCACCAGAAAGGTGTCGGGGAGCTTGGCTCAGCAGACTCAGGCTAAAAGATAATCATGTGTGCACAGCGAAATAAATATACCAAAATGGAATAAAGAGGCCGCCATTTACACCCTACGTGATCTACCAGCATCAGCTTTGAGAGCTACTGGTAGATCACGATCTACCTAATGGGCACCCCTGCTGTAAGGAGCACAGGGGATACATCTGAACACTGATGTCTGTCAATGAGTCTGCTCACTCAGAGACATAAACACGCCCCCTCCTGCCCCAAAAGAAAGTGCTCCGGTCGGGATGCGATCCAGTGCGTTCCGGCACTGAATCGGGCCATAACGCATACTGGGGTTGGCTTGAACTAGCCCTAAATGGTGGTGCTCGCAGTTATGATCATGGATGGTGCCAATGAAGCACCCGATGAATACTTGTAAATTATTGTTTGTATTTATTTAACGTTTCGGGGCCACGCAGGGTCCCTTCATCAGGGTGGCATAGCGGCAAAGTTGTATAGCAATTATACTCATATATATGATGTGCCATGGGTTCCAGTGCGGGCGATCGCATTACGGCCAGCAATGCCATTGACTTCAATGCATGTCAACGCCCCCTCCCGCCCCAAAACAAAGTGAGCCGACCGGAATGCGACCCACTACGTTCCGGCACTGTGGCTGGCGTGAACTAGCCTTCAGTAAACATATTTTACAGGAAGCACCAAAATAATTTCCTACAGGGGCTACAATGAAGAGAAAATATCTGATTGCCTCCTAATGCATCCATGATCTCACAGATGTGATTGCTATGACTTATGTATTTATTTATGGGGGGTTTTTTTTAAATTTATAATGTTAAATGTTTATTCTGCATTTTCTATATTTTAAGGTGAAGCCTGGTGAAGAAAATTGGAAAGCCAAAGACAGCCAGGCAATCTGCCTTTTTAGACGCAATGGCAACTTGTTTCTTTCTGCAGGTTTCCATAAAGAAAGGTTATAGATTTAAATTAAAAACACCCCAATTTGAATAACGAAAGATGTAGATTTAAATTAGAAGCACCACCTTAATAAAAAAAATAAACAAAAAACAAATCTAGCTTTAAAATAAAAGTCCCCCTTTAATAAAACAAAAATGATGATCTAAATGAAACCCCCCATAAAAAATCTAGATTTTAATAAAAAGTCTCCTCCTTAACTCCATTAATAAAGATGTAAATAAAGAGTATTCCCCTTAATTTAAAAAACATCCTGATTTAAATTAAAAGCACTCCCACCCTCCGTAATAGAAGATAAAGATAAGATAAGAAAAACAAAAACAAAAAGATTGTAGATTTAAATGAACATCCCCCCTCTCCGAGCATGCAGTGCTGACCCCGGACAGCCTTCCAATTCTCCGTTGTTGCAGAGGACACATTCTAATTTTCCACATGACACAATGTAAAAAAGCAGAAGTGCCTTTCTTTTCTTTTCCAATATTGCAGGGAGTTTCGCTTTCAAAACGGAGCCTAGTTCTCTTTCCACCACTAAGGAGGAGACAGCCCGGGCTGAACATAGCACTTCGGCTAGAGGTTTCCGCCCCCCTCCCCTGATGTCACTGGGGAAATTCTGCAACTGCGGCTTTATATGCAGAGCTCAGAGCAATGGACAGCACAAAAAAGCACAAGCAATCCACAGATAAGTGGACCAACCAACAGAAAACACACAAGAAAGAAGTAGAGCAAACCAGGAGTGAAAAATGGAACTGACACAAGTACAAACCGAGGTGCCTCTCCTGCAGCAGCAACCCGCACCCAAGAACAATTGCTCCTGCTTCCAATGGCTCAGCTTCTGCTCCTTCGCCATCTTACTGGTGGCCACGACGGTTTTAGCCCTGCTCCATTTTCAGATCATCCCAACGCCCGGCAAACAGGTGCGTGCCTATATCCAGACGATGCTAACTGGCTTATTCTATAATGCGATCAACAGCACAGCGGTTTAGCGAGCACTAACTCTTGGCAGCCAATCGGAATTCACCTGGTTCACAAACAAATTGTTGTTGGTTGCGACGGGTTACTGCACTTTGCCTTCCACCATGAGCCATGGCGGTGCTTATGCACGGCGCTGGACTGAGCTGGGACTACAGTGTTTGAAACATAACAGTTGCAGAGCGGTCCAGCGCCAAGAGATGAGCGCAAAGCGCTGTAGAACGTCCGCTGTACTTTTTTTTGCATCATCATTTTGCAATTTATAATAATATCTTATTTTATAATCATAATATATTATTATTTATTATTATCTGACTTGTTATCTAAATATCTTAATTATGATTTTAATTACATATTATTGTCTTGTTAAAACTTGCTGTATTGGATATACAAGTCACTGACTTGACTTACTAAAGGTGTAGATCATGCCGCTTATTTTAGTGAATGAGGCGAAAATTCACTTTGCAAAAAGCACCCAATCATGTGCAAGGAATTTTTTTTTTTTATTACATTCAAAAAATAATAACAGGATTTTTTTTTATGCTCGCACATGATTTATTGAACAAGTCAGCACCACCTAACCTCGTTCACTAAGCTAAGTCAAAATGATCTTTGCAAACAGTAAATTCCCTTAGTTTAGTGAATAGGGTGAAGCTGCAAAGACTTCAGTCATCCAATCGTGGGCAAGCAAACATTTTTAGTTGGTTTTTTATTTTTCTAGGGCATAATTGGGTATTTTTGGTAAATTTTATTTTCAGTTTAAATTAAATTTAAGTAAAAATTCACTTTGCAAAGTGAATAGGTTTTAAGTAAATCAACCCTACTGCCTAGCAGTGAATGCTGTTCCTCCTATGCAGTGTGTGCAGTGCAGGAACCAAGCGCAGTAAGCGATCTGACCGGTGCCATGCATTTATTGCACTTTGCACTGCCAGAGTTAATAAAGCAATAGTGCTCAATGTGTCAGAACAAGCTCTTTTGCATTGAAAGTTACAACTACCAAACTGATTTCCCTTAGTCCGCTCATAGCGTGGCGTGAAAAGCTGATCTGTGGGCAGAGGAATGTTTGATTTCTGCCCTCTGCAAACCCCTGTCTTTGCCTTTGCTGCAATGCCAGTCAGCTTGCCACGCTGAGACTTTCCCAAGTCTGTACTTTCCGTACTGAACCTCCGCCGCTACTCTTGTCTAACTGGTTTCTCAGGTTCTAACTACTTCCTTAATAAACAACTTTTCATAAGTACACATTACTCTGAAAGCAGGAAGGAATGCTTAAGTATTGCAACTTACCGTGTTCTTTTCTTCTTTTTTTTTAGGCGCAAGATGATTTTCAATTTCCAGAAGTACTTCACATCCAAAAATTATTAGGTGAGTTGGAGAAAAGTTTGCATGGGTAGTGATAAGCTAAATAGAGGCAATTGGATGGGAATAGCATTGGAAATTTCCGATTTCAGATATCCACAGTTGAAATCATTGTAAATAATGGAAGCCTATTGGTATTGGGCCGCTGTGGATAAGTACACATTGCCCATCGCCCTTTGCCTGCGTTTTTGCATCATTAAGACCAGTTATGCACACGGCAATTTAAAAAAGTTACAGATTTTGGCTGCTCCGGGCACAATGAAGGAAATATCCTTACCGGTGTTCTGGATGTAAGTGCAGCCGTGGCAGATGACCACACCCGGCCTCACTTCATCTGAGCGGGGTTGTACTTTAACTTTTATGTTGTTAAAGTTTAGCTTTATTTTCATATACAGTGCCGCTTATAACCACTTCTGATCATTAAAATGTAATGGGGAAATATGACAAAAATTGGGGACCTTTCATATACAGTAGATATAATGAGGATTTCAATAAAGGCTGTAAAGTCCACTGTGTTAACGAACGTTCTTTCTTTTATACAGATGTAGCACCCAATGCCCAGGCCATGAAAGGACAAAGAGTGGCTGCTCACTTAATCGGTAGGTTTCCTTACATTTGTTTTGTGCTACCTTTCTGCCAGCATTGTACCTTATTCATTAGAATGGCACCATTAACTATGGCACCCGGTAAACCATAGCAGCCAGAGACCAGCCTTCAGCTGCAGCAACACCAATGTCAATCTGCCTTTAAAAACTCAACTCTAGTCAAAACTGGATTCGTTTTTTTTATTAGGTTGAGGATGTTTCCCCTGTCAGGACAGGAAGTGCTGGGAGACTTCCTCATTTCTGTTACAGTGGGGAAGTGTGAGAACTTCAGACAATGCTGTCCTCGTGATAACCACTCCTCCCTTATCTTGTTCCCCAATGGAGTCACAAATAAAAATAAAGAACCCACTGTATCCAAAACAAAAAAAAGGTTTTGATGCCATTCAACCCTGCAAAGTTTTGAATAGTTGAAAATGTTGCTTGCAGATCCGAAGAAGAGTCAGAAAATTCATGGATCCAGGCAATCGCTATTCATGAATTTAATGATTCACCGTAGGTATTAGCATGCAAAGACATTTTAGACCATTCGGCAGATCCAACTTTATGACAACAGTTTGGGGAAGGCCCTTTTCTGTCCCAGCATGACTCTATGTGACAAAGCCAGCTCTATCAAGACATGGTTTGATGAGTTTGGTATAGAGAAACTCAAGTGGCCTGTACAGAGCCCTGAACTCAACCCTACTTAACACCACTGGGATGAATTGAAACACAAATCGTGAGCCAAGTCTTCTTATCCAACATGAGTATCCAACCTCACAAATGCTCTTATGGCTGCTTTAACACAAATTCCAACAGATACACCCCAAAATCTTGTGGAAAGCCTTCTCAGAAGAGTGACTGTTCCACAATTTTTCAATTTTCACTGATGGTCTTTCTTTGATCTTTGCAGGAAAACCCAAGGGTAACCAAATAGAATGGGAATTCACTCCCATGAACACTTTCAAAGACCCTGAATTAATCCTTAAGGACAACTCTCTGGTGATCCCACAGAAAGGTCTCTACTTCGTGTACACCCAGGTCGTCTACACTGGCAAGGACTGCAAGACGATGAAATCCACAGAGCTGACCCACACAGTGATGCGAGAGGGCGATTACGGCGAACCCACACCTCTCCTCACTTCCACCAAAACGGCGTGTGACGCTGTGTCAGGAAATATCTGGCATCAGCCCATCTACCAAGGAGGTATATTTCTACTTGAAGAGGGGGATATTCTTTCAACTGAAACCACAAAAATTAATCTTCTCAACATGAACAAGGGACAGGTTTACTTTGGTGTCATTGCCTTGTGATGAAACAGCGCTAGCCTTGATAAACCTTCTTGGTGCTTGGTTCATCAAGATGTCCGTTCGACCTCATCTTCGACTCCTTTTACAAACTTTTTTTTCCCGGACAGAACATCAAAGCTGGATCTTTGATGCAGTGGAAATACATTTCTATTAGGTCACCAACACAATGCACGTTTTTGGCTCTCGCTCTTACCGAATAATGACACAAGGGTTACAACTCTTCCAGAACACTTTGTTTTATCAACTGTTATTTTAATATTTTAATATTTATTTATTTATTATTTATATATTTTATATATGCAGTATATATTATTTGTTACAGATTTTGAGATATCGATATGTGTTTTTGTCACGAGTATACATACAGTGTATGTATCGTCTATCTATTTTTATCACGTTGTTACTAAATGTCGCAGACCAGGCTTCTGACTTCTATGCCTCGCTGGCAGCTGTGGAACTAGAAGTCCCAGGCATTCTCTGTAAATTCGGGGACCTGTAGTTCCACAGTGGCTGGACAAAAGGATTACAAGTTACAGAGGCGGCACTTTTTCCTTGAAAAGCAAAGTGTGCCAATATTGAATGTACCATGAGCGTTCTGTTTTGATACTCGTGTTTGCTGGGAAATGACATACGGAGAATGTCTTGCCAGCCAATGGCAAAGCAGACATGTGCCCCTATGGGGTCTTATGGTTGTATGTGTTCTTTCCTCATTTATGGCCGTTCCTGCCCAAAAAAATCACGCACCCCAACTTGTTGCCTTAAAGTGTATGTAAACCCAAGCCCAAAAATATACCATATTAACGCGAACCAGTCCTTAGATGTGGTGACTGTATTCGTTTTCGTCTTGTTAAGTTAATTTCACCTGTTGATCCTGCCAGTAACACACCTAATGTCCTAGGACAGTGGTGGCGAACCTCGGCACTCCAGCTGTTTTGGAACTACAAGTCCCATGAGGCATTGCAAGGCTCTGACAGCCACAGACATAACTCCCAGAGGCAGATGCATGTTGGGATTTGTAGTTTTGGCACAGCTGGAGTGCCAAGGTTCGCCACCACCGTCCTAGGATGTACTGTATCTCTAGAGGAGCTTTGTTGTTACCCCAAGGCAGCACTACAGCACACTTGCCCTTTCTCCTCATCTCCATAACAGAGAAGGAGCTGTTCTGTAGTGCACAGAGATAGCTGGGAACAATACTAACTCGGTAGAAGTCGAGAGCACACGAACCTTTAAGAGCACAAGATTTCTGGCAGGATCAACAGGTATTTTATTGCACTAGAAAACTATTTCAATGGCGTATTTAACAGACCAAAAAGGGACCGAATAAAAGAAAATGTTTTCGTTGTTGGGGTTTATGTACACTTTAACAAAAATGGGGCTGGGTATAATCGTATATTGCTAAGCAATGTTTTTAGTTCTCTGTTATCATGTAACACTAGCTGGGCTAGGAACTGTTATCATACTGGACCTGGAGCCGCTTTTATGGCTTCCTCTTTACATAGTGTGATTATTTTGTTGTTATTATCTCTGTATGTTTGTGCTGGAAATCAGATAGTCTGGTCTGTCTATTAACCCCCCAGTAAGGGGAAACTGCTGTGGGGAATTGGAATTTTCCACATCCTGTATGTATTTTGGCATACATTGGCAATAAATGAGATATGTTAATATTGAAGCCACTATTTTTTTTCCTTCTTTGTCTGCTGGTCATACAATAAATACTAAATATTAAACTCTAATTATGTTTACATTTCCTGCAGGCCCTAATGTTCAGGAATATAAAACATTAGAATAGAATAGTTTATGGAATATAGAATAGCTTAGTGAACAGATGCAGTGAGCGAAGGACCATGAACCATAAGCCTGGAGCAGGCTTTCACCATCAGGGCGCTGTGGAATCCTTGAGGTACCTTAGAGTTTGCTAGAGGTTCAATGAGCAGTGGCAGATTTATCTGCCATGGGACCACTGACCATCAATCTTAGATGTCATTACTCTAATCACCGATGTATTGGTGTATTCTTCCCTCTAGCCACCAATGCACCTGAGTTACTATTGATCTCGATGGTAAAAGGGACACTTCTCAACTAGCCACCAATGAAAGAGGACACTACACTATTTACAAAGTTAAGGGGGCATTTCTCCACTGACCACCATTGTAAGAGGACATTACACTGATCACCAAAGTAAAGGGACATTTCTCCACTGACCACCAATGTGGACACTACACTGACCTCCATCATAAGAGGACACTACACTGATTACCTAGGTAAAGAGACATTTATCCACTGACCACCATTGTAAGAGGACACTGCACTGTTCACCAAGGTAAAGGAACATTACTCCACGGACCACCAATGAAAGAGGACACTACACTGATTACCAATGAAAGAGGACACTACACTGATTATCAATGTAAGAGGACACTACACTGATCACCAAAGTAAAGGGACATTTCTCCACTGACCGTCATTGTAAGAGGACACTACACTGATCACCAAGGTAAAGAGACATTTCTCCACTGACCACCATTGTAAGAGGACACTGCACTGATCACCAAGGTAAAGGAACATTACTTCACTAACCACCATCATAAGAGGACACTACTTTGATCACCAATGTAAAGGAACATTACTCCACTGACCTCCATCATAAGAGGACACTACACTGATTATCAAGGTAAAGGGGCATTTCTCCACTGACCACCATTGTAAGAGGACACTACTTTGATCACCAAGGTAAAGGAACATTTCTCCACTGACCACTAATGAAAGAGGACACTACACTGAATACCAAGGTAAAGGGGCATTACTCCACTGACCTCCATCATAAGAGGACACTACACTGATTATCAAGGTAAAGGGGCATTTCTCCACTGACCACCATTGTAAGAGGACACTACATTGATTACCAAGGTAAAGGGACATTACTCTACTGACCACCATTGTAAGAGGACCCTACATTGATTACCAAGGTAAAGGGACATTACTCTACTGACCACCATCGTAAGAGGACACTACACTGATTACCAAGGTAAAGTGGCATTTCTCCACTGACCACCAATGTGGACACTACACTGACCTCCATCATAAGAGGACACTACACTGATTATCAATGTAAAGGGTGTGATATTGGGGAGCTCACAGAGCACTCGCACAGGCTTTTCCATTAACAAAACGTCTTTATTTTCTGTTCAAAAGGCAGACAGTAAAGGAAGTCCAACATAAATAGCTTGCTGCAGCATATAACAGATATGGGCTCACCAATGCTCACCCTTCACAGGTTATCCTGTTCAGTGTCCCAGTCCCAGGACCTTACTGTTTTCCTCAACAGGATCTCTTCAGGAATACACTGGGCACTTTGAGCAGCTTTCAGCAGCCTTTGATTTCACACCCATACACCTTGGGTGACTGGCTCTCTCAGCCTCTCTAGGCCTTCCAGCCTCCAACACATACACAGCCTCCTGGCTTCTGGGTGGAGTCCGCCTGACTCCGAGACACCACCTGTCCCTCTTCCCAGCAGGAGCCCTGAACACACTCCCGCACCCTCCTCATGAGGGATGCACACAGGTGCACAATCAGGTGCTGGCTGCCACTAAAGCCTGGACCCAGGAATGGAGATTTCATCCCTCCCAATGCTCTTTGAAATCTCCCAGTTCCAGGAACCCAAGCCAAATCAGGAAAACCTGGGAAGAACTGCAAAGCCAGCTCTTTCCCAGTAAACGTTTGCACTTTCTGGAACTGCTCAGCCCCCCTGGCTGAGAGACCTGGGTGACTATATTGCCAAAAGACACCCTGGCATTGCCACGCACTGCTACAAGGGGCATTACTCCACTGACCTCCATCATAAGAGGACACTATATTGATTACCAAGGTAAAGGGACATTACTCTACTGACCACCATCGTAAGAGGACACTACACTGATTATCAAGGTAAAGGGGCATTTCTCCACTGATCATCACTGTAAGGTGACACTACAATTTGCAGTGTCTTCCTTTCCCCTTGTTATTATTAATAATTTCATGTTATTACTTAAACATATTTTGTCATAGAGAGCAGGGGGTGTTCTGGGTGCCACATTCTTTATTTTTTCAGTTATTAATATATCTACAATTTACTGATCGGGCTGATGGATGCTACAGAAATTTTTAGAAGGGGATCCCTGAAACCTGAAAATTATTTTAAGAGTTACTCCATAGTAAAAAGGTTGAGAAAGATTGATCTAGTCTACATTTTTGCACAGCGTCATGCCTTTCAATGGTACAGACTGGTCAGCCACCAGCACCATGGAAATTAATGATACTAATGCAGGGAGGTTGGGACCCATTCAGAAAGGGCAGCAGCTTGCCTATAGACAGAAGTCTGCCCTCAGGCCTGCTCCACCTCCGACCCTCTGTCATGCTGCTACAGCTGAGGCTTCTAATGTGATGGTAGGACTCTGATGTCAAGAGTGGACCGGGGACTCTGATGTGAAGGTGGTAGTGAGGACTCTGATGTGAAGGGGGGACTGAGGACTCTGATGTGAAAGGGGACTGAGGACTCTGATGTGAAGGTGGGCTGAGGGAAGGTATCTTCCGATGTAAACTGGGCTCCTTTTATAAAGGGGGAAATCTAATGTGAATGGTGGGGGACCCAGTATGAAACGGGGGCTCCGATGTAAAGGGGGGACTGTGATGTGAGGGGGAGCTTCTGATGTGAAAGTGGGGCTCCTGATGTGATCCAGATCCCTATCTGGGAAAAGGGTCTAGTATGGATTTAGCAGAGGTCACACTTTTTTTACATTTTTATAATTTTAGACTGGAGTGCCTTGAGATCATGCATGCTTTTAAAGGGTGCCATGGCTGAAAAAGGTTGAGAAATGCTCTACTATAGTCATGAAGAAAATATAGAAAAACGTTTGCCTATGATGCATATAAGCAAATAGTGTTTTTTTGTTAGTGGAATAATGTACTTACTACATTGTGTACTTAGAATTCACCTACTATGGCGCTGTACCCCTAAAAAACCCCAGCAGAGTAGAGCGTACAAAGTCTAATGATCGT